TAATAGTATAGTTTAAGGTTGATTTAATGTGAATACTGATACGGATAGTTTGTAAATATGATATCAAAAATCTTAATATACAAATTATTAAATTGACAAGGCATGCATGGTCTGTGTCGTTCTTTATCCAAAACCGCATTGTTTGCAAAAAAAGTATAGTCTATTTCAGAAAGGTATTCATCTCTTTCCATTCATGCAGGTATAATGGTTGTACAACTCGGGCAGAAAGAAAGAAGTCTACATATGTTAATAGCCTGCTAGGTTTGGTACTAACAAAAAACAACAATTTATTGGCTATTCCATATATCATATTGCCTAATTAGCTCAAGACTGGTAATTATATATATTTAGTCAAAGGTGTGGAGTTAAACTGGTATGCAGTGGCATTTCGTCTATAGTGCTACGTTATTCTGAATTAGTGAGCAGACTTTAAAATATTTATGCATTATATTGTCGCTGTAACTGGAATAATTAGCGAGATAAAGTACATGTTTAGTAAAGTTTCCGTGGGTCATGGAACGAGGTCTTCAATTATATTTACAAATTTAAAGAGGAGTCTCGTACGATTATTTGGCGACAAGAAAGTAGTCTTATGGCAAGCAATGTGAAAGCTTTTGTAGTGCAAATTGGGCATGCTCCTGAATTTGATCAGAGTCGGAGCCGAGCTAGGTGGAAGGAGTGGAGGGGTAAGGGGTGTTGTGGTTGGGGGTGTTGTGGTTAGGGAGGGGGTTTGACCGATGACGTCAGAGGAATTATTTTAGATACTCACAACATTCCTTTTCCCCGGGAAGCTGACGTCATTCCTAGGTTACATCTACAGCATACTTCGTCCCGTAGGATTCCATTAGTTGGTTTGAGGTGTACCGACATGGTTTGTTATAATGACGGGTATAACTACAAATGTCTCCTTTGGAGGATGTCAATTAGCAGTGGGGCAGGTACGTTATGTTACTGTATATTAGGATATGGAATACTTAAAGGGGGGCGTCGACCATGTAGGGGTATTGTTCTCGTCTTTTAAAAGTAACAAAACAAATCACTAGCAAATCGTCATATGTGGCATAGTTTGTATACGTGGTCTAAGGCCATCAGACTTCATCCTGGAATAACAAAGACGGATTTCGTATTGCATGGTGATTTCATGTCTTTAGAAGGTATTACAAATGGAAGCTATGAAGAAATATAAAACAGAAAAGTATTCAAAAATACAAATTAATCACCCATTACCCGTTACATCTTCTAAATCCTAGGTTTCCGCTTTCGATATAAATATACTTTCGGTGTAGATTCTTGGATTTGAAAGATGAATCAGTTTTTATTTACAAAATCAAAACTCAGAGTTGAAAAGAAAACAGATAACCAAACCAAAACAAAACGAAAGCCAATGTATGAATAAATAAATTACATCAATTTTACAGAAAAAGAACAGTGTTTCCAGCACAAATGTGGTACCCGTTTCGTCATAAAATCCAGAAGATAAATGACATATTTGAGGTCACCATAAGTAGGTCACGGTGATAACTGTTAACGTTCTATCAAAGTAAATTGAAGCACCTCTGGTACAAAACCTTGACTTCCTCACTCTGGAGTAGGTTATTAACAGTAAACTCTAAAAACAGGCTTATTCAATTGTAACTGCTGATGACCGCTTAAAGTATCCTTGAAATTCCAGGGGGTATGCTCACGTGCGTGGCATGCTCGCCTACCGTAACCTCCGGAATTTCGAAGTTGTGGTTACGATGATTCAATTAGAATCGCCATCACGCTTGTCATCGAGTTTGAGTAGTGAGGTGGACGATACAATCGGGAACCGTCGGCATTGTTACTAGGAAGGTAGAAGTGAAGCTGACCACGGAATTAGATTCTAATCTCCGCTATATAGGTCCGTGAGCTGACTAAGAAGAGGTATACGCACTGTCAAGCTCTGTATGAGCACGGAATTAGAATAGATGTTATCTAAGTCTGTGGTATGAGATACAATTAGTTATGATTTTTATGTCGTACTCCAGGTCAAATCACCACCGATATATCTAAATGTGAAATAAAAGTAACGAACACGCATCATATCTCTTTAATATCCTTTGTATAATTTGGCTTCATGAGAATTAAACAAGAAGATATCGAGTCTGTCTTCATATACGTACGTCGGTCAGTAGTTCAACAATTCAATATGAGTTATCTCCCTTACGTCGTACTGCTTGCATATATATATCAGGCACTTCACATTGTTCCAGTCAAAATTATTGTCCAAGTTCGATAGGCCTATCACACCCGACGTAACACAGAGTGACAATTAAAACTTTTATTTACTTAACAACAATCATGACTGAAGGAGTTTAATAAACATATTCATTACATTTTCACCTGTGAAATATAAGTAAGTATCCATTTAATAAAAAAAAAAGTGTATAATTTGATTTTGGCTATTCCCCAATGCCACACTTTAACGGACAACACAAAAAATGATGACTTCGTAAACTGCAATGCTTTGCGTGGTATGTGTAATTCTAATTTCTGATTGGTTGAAGTTGCAATTGCTTACCAATGAGTAATTGTCTTATTTTTATAATAAGGAGTTGTCTGTCATTTTAGATAAAATAATAAGAGATAACCATACTTATTTAAGGGGTTTAACGCACCGTATATATATACAGAACTGTATACACTTTACATAAATCCGCAATCCACTACCAATACCGCTATAGTCTACAGATACCACTACCGATAACACTAGATACCTCCACCACTATCGCTAACAGTACAGTCACCTTTACCACAAAAACTAACAGTACAGATATCTTTACCACTACCGCTAACAGTACAGATACCTTTACCACTACCACTAAAAGTACATATACCTCTACCACTACCGCTTACAGTACATATACATTTACCACTACCACTAACAGTACAGATACCTTTACCACTACCGCTTACAGTACAGACACCTTTACCACTACCACTAACAGCACAGATACCTTTACCACTACCGCTAACAGTACAGATACCTTTACCACTACCACTAACAGTACATATACCTCTACCACTACCACTAACAGTACATATACCTTTACCACTACCGCTTACAGTACAGACACCTTTACCACTACCACTAACAGTACAGATACCTTTACCACTACCGCTAACAGTACAGATACCTTTACCACTACCACTAACAGTACATATACCTCTACCACTACCACTAACAGTACATATACCTTTACCACTACCGCTTACAGTACAGATACCTTTACCACTACCACTAACAGTACAGATACCTCTACCACTACCACTAACAGTACAGACACATTTACCACTACCACCAAGAGTACAGATACCTTTACCACTAACTTTAACACCCAGATACCTCTACCACTACCGCTAACAGTTCAGATACTTCTACCATTAATGCTAACAGTACATATACCTCTACCACTACCACTAATATTATATACCTTTACTAATACCACTAACAGTACAGATACCTTCACCACTACCGCTAACAGTACAAATACCTCTACCACTACCGCTTAGAGAACATATACCTCTACCACTACCGCTAACAGTACATATACCTCTACCACTACCACTTACAGTACAAATTCCTTTACCACTACCGCTAAAAGTACAGATACCTCTACCACTTACAGTACATATACCTCTACCACTACCGTTAACAATACAAACAAATTTACCACTACCGCTTACAGTACAGATACACTTACCACTACCACTAACAGTACAGATACCTTTACCATAACCGCTAACAATTCAGATATCTCTACCATTACCGCTAACAGTACATATACCTCTAGCACTACAACTAAAACTACAGATACCACTGCCACTACCGTTAAAAGTACACGCACCGTTACCACTACCGGTAACAAGTACAGATACCTTTACCACTACCGCTAACAGTACATAAACCTCTACCACTACCGCTAACAGTACAGATACATCTACCACTACCGCTAACAGTTCAGATACTTCTACCATTAATGCTAACAGTACATATACCTCTACTACTACCACTAACAGTACAGATACCTCTACCACTTACAGTACAGATACCTTTACCACTACCACTAAAAGTACATATACCTCTACCACTACCGCTTACAGTACATATACCTTTACCACTACCACTAACAGTACAGATACCTTTACCACTAAAACTAACAGTACAGATACCTTTACCCCTACCACTAACAGTACAGACACCTTTCCCACTATCGCTAACCGTACAGATCCCTTTACCACTACCACTAACATTACAGATACCTTTCCCACTACCGCTTACAGTACAGACACCTTTACCACTACAACCAACAGTACAGACACCTTTACCACTACAACCAACAGTACAGACACCTTTACCCCTACCACTAACAGTACAGATACCTTTACCACTACCACTAACAGTACAGATACCTTTCCCACTATCGCTAACAGTACAGATACCTTTACCACTACCACTAACAGTACAGACACCTTTACCACTACCACTAACAGTACAGACACCTTTACCACTACCGCTTACAGTACAGATACCTTTACCACTACAACTAACAGTACAGATACTTTACCACTACCACTAACAGTACAGATACCTGTACCACTACCACTAACAGTAAGATACCTCTACCACGTCTCTTTACACTAAAAATATTTACCACTGCTAGATACCCCCACCACAGCCGCTAACACGATCGTCCCGTGCGCCCGCGTTCATCCCCATGCGTCCGCGTTCGTCCCGTGCATCTGACGGAGCCTATTTTACATAAGAGATAGCATTATTGCTAGGTGAAGATAGCATTATTGATGACGTCAAGATAACATTATTACTGACGTCAAAGTTGCAGCTATGTAAAAAATTTAAGATGAAAATGAAAGCGACACGCTTATATTTTACAGCTTTCGTGTTTTTGTTTGTTTTGCTTTATAATCGGCCCGACTTGACTGATCAGAGATTTTTCAACAATTTTCTACATCAACAGTCATATCCATGTTTCCGGAACCTGTCCTATTACTGAAATCATCCCCTTGTGCCTGGATGTTAAGTGGATGTGAAGTCATCGTTAAGGTATTAAAGGTACGTTTAATGATATAATAAAACACCGAACTTACCAGCCTACTATTTGATCAATCCTTTAGCACAGCCCATTGACAATGGTTTCAGAAAAAAAAAACCACATTAATACATACATGTCTTTATTTAAAAGAGGAATACGAAATGAATATATTTCAGGTTTTTTTTCTTTTTCTCTTTTTCTTTTCTTATTCTTTTGGTTGCATTATTTTTCATCAGAAGTGAAGAAGTCATAAAAAACGAAAGATTTTTTTTCTAACAGTCCATATAAACGCAATTTAGTGAAGTAAAAAGATTTAAATGAAGTGTAACAATTACATTAACTTTTCAGGGTTTCGTAAATTCTTCGTATACCGATTTGTCCGGTTTTAAGTACCTTTGTCAAAACCCTGTGCTACAGGTAAACGTATGGTCAACCATTAGGGTATATAATACGACCACACTTCGCATACCGTGTACTTATATAAACTGACCAACACTACATAGACTGGTTCATACATGTGATTCCGACATCACAGATGGATATACTGGGAAAGTGAACGTGGATATTCAGATATATCTAATTGTGTTTAAAGTTTAAACGCAAACGATCGAGCTTATATTTTTGTTCTGTGACGATTTTTCGTGACTAGACACCACACTTTTGTTTTCATGTTTTCACTAACAATTCGTTGAGTGTCATCGATTTCACTGCATTAAAAACATTAAGATGGCTGTCACCTTTGGAGTTTGGGATTGGGTAGTTTTTGCCGCCATGCTTATCATTTCGGTAGCTATCGGGGCTTATCATGCCATTGCAGGAGGAAAGAAAACTACAGGAGAACTGTTAATGGGCAGTCGAAACATTGGCTTCGTACCCATAGCAATTTCGATTATTGTTTCTTTCCAGTCCGCCATCTTGATTTTAGGAGTTCCGGCGGAGATGTATACTCAGGGAACCATGTACTACATCTACACGGTCGGTTACGTCGGCGGTGGATTGCTGACGTCATTCATTTTTGTACCATTGTTTTACCCGCTAAACCTTACAAGCATTTACGAGGTAAGAGATTCATAATATTTTGGTATACTTATTCGATTAAGTCTTGCACATATCGTGAGTTACCTATTTTCCAATGAAAACAATCACATTGCACAACTTCAGACGACGTCAGATTAATTCGTCATATTCAACTATCTGGTGTAATTATCATGCAAGACACAGAAATAGTTTGTTATTGACGATCTTATTTTCTTCCTTGAAAAACTATGAAAGGATTGGAGGTTAAAGTAAATCTTATTTATCAATTAAGCCTCAGATTAAATTAATCCTCAGATTGTTCAATAGTATTGAACAGCCAATTCGTATGCTTGATGCGTTGCAAGAAATGGAAAAAAACCCTTGTTCGTGCCATTTTGAGGAATTTGAAAAGAAATTAAGTCGTACAAACGAGATTGAATGACGTACGAACGGGGGCAAAATCGTTTAGAACATTTTTTAGAACATTTTTCAAATATTGTAAAAAGGCACAAAGAAGTCAGCTTTTGTAGTAAATCATAATATCATACACATCAATAATGTATAAAAGTATGAGAAATACATGTAGCGAAAGCTCATCTTAAAATTTCTGAAACTATTCAATGATTAAATATATTTTGAGTGAATGCACATTTTATCTATCCTATAGTTGATTTCCTTATTGAAATAGCGAAGTAGTATGTAAAACCACGGGACAAGCATCTTTAACAAAGCTGCGAGGATAAGTCGAATGGTACATTGATGGTCACGTATTTTCGCCGAGACTTTTGTCCACATCGGGTCATGTGACATTATGGATAAAAAGTACCGATGTCATTTACTTGGACCTAAGATGTTAGATATGGGTATGTCGTGGTCATTAAACGTGGATCCCAAACTGGGTAAACCCCTTAGGCTGTGTTCACTGATTCGTCGGGTATAATTGTGTACACACACTCGATTTTATCTGTTAAAGTTCGTTTGTTGATGCTTTTACTCGACCCCACGGACACAATGGTCAAGTGAGATCTGCTGACCGCTGTCAACAATTTACACTTGTTTCCATGGTAATTCAATATCCTCAATACGTGCATTCAAACACACATGTCAGGGTGTCATCACGTACAAAATCGTTTCCTATTTGTTCTTAAACATTTTATTACATCATTTGTAGTACCTAGAAAATACAGGATGGCGAAAATGTGTTGACAGATGATTTTAAACCTTTCTCTGTTTTTTCCTCAACATAATTTCTCCCTTCCCAGAGTCGTTTTGGTTAACACTTAACACCCCACCCCCTTATTTCCTAATCCATCGGCTTTATCACCTCTCCAGGTAGCCTCTTTTGGCTCGAGGAGAATATACAATAGGCTCAAGGAAACCAGTGCGAGGTCTCTAAACTGTTCTAAATTTCCCTTTTTCGGCATTGACCTCATTTGGTCGCTAACCACATCACCATTTTCCCGTGTAACGACCCTCAATGACCTGGTATTGTGTGACTTTACTTACAGTTTATATAAACAAGCAAGTTTCGCTAGGTTCACCATTACTACGCTCCCTTATATCTATTGGGGTTCTTGACCCTTCTGCTCCTAGACCTCTGTTCCTGATCTCTAGCGGTTTGTGACCCTGCATTCCCTGGTCCCTCTGCCCTACCATCTCGGGATCCTGGCTTCCTTAATCCACCACGCGATACAAAAAAAAAAAAAAAACGAAAACGAAAATACCCCGAGATCTAGTCAGATCGCACACGCTGATCTCCGGGAAAAAACATTCGGAATGAGGAAAACATCGGAATGAGGAAAACATCGGAATAGTAACTATCGTTCAATGTAATTTATGCTTTGTCAATAAAAAAAACCTTTCCATTAGTGTTTGATATCCTCTCTCTTGATATTATCATGGCTGCTTGTGTTCTAAGCATTTTAAAGATGATATGAAACTTGTCTGTAATGGAGTTAAAGCGATATTGCAGCAATCATGCAAAAAAATAAAGTGTATTTCAAGTGGGTATTATTCTTTTTTAAGAACAACTCGTTCGTAGACGACATTCTTCTGTAGTTATACGTGTACGGATAGATAACAAAAGAATAAATCTTCTGATACGTACATCTGACATTACGTAAGGTAACAAAGTATTTATAGCTTATTGCTTAATGTCAGATCTAGTCGATATAACCGTAATACAACTGATGATCTGACGGATTTTCATTTTCCTTATTAATTGGTGATTTGCGATATAGACTCGGGGATTATTAGTTTAAGAAACAGCAGACCGATATTCTCTTTGTAAACACCTCAACAAAACGTGAAATGGATTTATCTCGGGGGAAACAAAGAAATGATATTTCCCACCATTAGGAAAAATGCATGTATAATTTATAAATATATATATGATCCCTGTTTTCTAAATGCGTTATTGTGCTTTTGCTTCGCAGTATCTGGAGCTGAGATACAAATCCAGGTCTGTGAAACTTGTCGGGAGTACTATAAGTATAATTGCAACTGTAAGTATATATATATGTAATTATAGCGAAATAAAAAACCAAAATAATAAATAAAGTACATTAAATGGTGTTCCCATTGAAAACTATAAATATGTTCACGAGTAAGGCAGAAGGCCACTATATTATGTATGTTATATGAAATGCCCGTCATTGCTATAATAATGCTATATAAACGGCGGTAGTCCACAGGAACGCAATACAAGTCTACATTGAACTAAACATTCCTTAAAACTTTAGTTAAGGTAATGTTTTCTCTCCAACAAATAAACCCATATAACAAAATATATGCCATGCTACTAGCAAAGTTGACATTCCTTTAAGCTTTTCTGAAACCCGATTGTGCAATAATGATTGTAATAGATCACTCAAACTCATTTCCCTTATCTTAATTGTATCTTGGTAATTAGGTTAACAGTTGACGAAATTAATCATTTTAGCCTAAGCATATATCATGATATCCCGTTTTTGTTGTGAACACCCAGTATCAGATAATGCACTATTCACACCAGCCGTGACGTCGGGTCTGGTTTATTTGCATACGGCCAATTCCCTAATCAGCAGTTTTACCATTAGCATCCAAACCGAAACAGACAATTTTGCACCAAACGATCTGTTTTTCCTCTTTCTCGAGAACAAGATAGTTCAGCGCAACCCTTTGAGCATATTGAGTAACGTTTGAGAAAGGTTGACTTTTGTGAGATATTTTCACGACAGAGTTCGTTCTAGAACCACCTATTACAATGTTTACACTTCAGAAATATACATTTTGGAATCCCAACGTCAATAGAAATTATCACCGTTTTCAAAAGTAAGTCACCGAACTTATAATACATAAATATTTTAATGAAGTAATATATTTTTTAGTTGATGTTTACCGGTTTCGCCTCGTATGCCCCAGCTACTGCTTTAGAACAAGGTAAGGCGACACTTGTCTACCATGCAATGAACTGTTGGTAAATGCTTAATATTCCAATTCGAAACAATTCTTACATAAACGCGATGAATGCAATAGTTTCTCATTGTACATAAAACTGACGAAACTCTTCGCGTTCCAGAGAGTCTCGCTAAATGCTAAAATCAAAACCTCTGGACAACTTCCATTAATCATATACGAAATCGAAACGATTTCGGCTAATATATAATCTGATTAAAATCATCTCAGTTGATGTGCAAAGTTAACGGAGCCAGGTAACAGATGATTTTAATCAGATTGTGCTAATATGATAAGTGTGATTTAATGATTGTTAAAATACCTACAATGAAATATCCTTTCGGTCTTGTTCAGTGAGCGGTTTTCCGGAGTGGGGATCTTTTATCATGATTGGCGTCGTCTGTACTTGTTATACTTTACTGGTAAGTCAACATAAACAATAAATCTTCTTCACATTGACGCTTATCATGGACGTCATAACTTGTCGGCACATGTGAAGATTATTATATGAATGTCCATATTCTATCCTATGATATAATGATAATGTCGAGATGATTACACATTTCGAACAAACGACTGGAAATATCATGCTGATGAATGCCTAGCCCGAGTTTCCTCTGGTCCCAACAGCAGACTTAAACATTTTGACAGATAGATGTCTGGTGTGTGGCCAGAGCGCACTATCATATGAAAACGTGGAATTCGCCAACACCGTTTTGGTATCGGAGAGTTTTAAGTTACTGAAAACAAAAGTCTTCTATGACACAACACATAACTTACGTATAAATATATATAGATAAATGAAATAGTTATTGATCCAAAACCGCCCTTATTATCAACGATAGATTCTTGTTGTCAGCACTTCAAAACTCTCCGATACCAAACGGTGTCGGATAATTCCACGTTTTCATATAGTAGTGCGCTCTGGCCCCGCACCAGACATCTATCTATCTATCTATCAAAATGTCCAAGTCTGGTGTCGGGACCAAAGGAAACGCGGGCTAATGAATGGTACGGGACAAGTTTGCTATTCTGGAACACTATACTTCGTGGTTGTTCATAAAATCTTCTTTTTGTTTTGTTATCTCCTCTGTTATCACTTTGGACATTTCGTGCTATTTTTGAGTTCCTATATTGATACTATATTGATACTTTATTGATACTATATTGATACTTTATTGATTCTATATTGATACTAACTATATTGATACTATATTGACACTTTATTGATACTAACTGTATTGATACTAACTATATTGATACTTGATTGATACTATATTGACACTTTATTGATACTAACTATATTGATACTAACTATATTGATACTATATTAATACTACATGACTACATGTATATTGATAGTTAATTGATGGTTAATACTTTCTACTGTGCTTTAGAGGAGTTGTTCAAAAATTGTCATTTCTAGAGACATAGATCCGAAAAACAACATGAATAAGCATATAATCTACACTATAATTATACATCGTTCGGGTTGTTTTTCTTTCTTTTTTTTTCTATTGAAGGAAATATCATACTTATCATGTAGTAAATGCATATCTGTATGAACTAATGAATATTTTTCAATTTTGTCATGAATTTTCATGATATACTTTTATTTGTTTACGTTGAGGTTTTGTCTTCATGTTTTCTTGTGCGGGACAAAGTAACAAGTATTGCAAAGATCAAGTGTTCTTTTAAAGTTTATATTTTTGTATTTTGACTATTCAAACGAAATTTTCGTACTGGAAAAACTGCTTCAAATAAATGTTTTATAGTGTATTAATATGTTTGCGTGTGTGTGTTTTTCGTTTTGCTTATATCAGAATACAAAATTAACGAAAAGTTCTACTGCAAAAAAATAAATAAAAAAAATCTGAATGTATTTGGTACTTGGAGACAATTTGATGATGATGACATTATTTGTGTTTGAAGGGAGGACTTAAAGCAGTGGTGTGGGTCGATACATTCCAGGCGATTATCATGATTGCTGGTCTTTTCGCTATCATGATCAAGGTATGAAACGTATTCTTTTTACAAATATGAATAAAAAAATCCCCTATGAAAAGACTACTGTACCAGAAAATTTTACACACTGTCACTAATCAACTTTGCTAATTAGAGTTAAAGATATTCAACATTTGCTTGTTAAACAACAGGCCACGATACTAATCCTGTTTGTTACATTGCGTGTGACATTAACAAAAACATTTACAAAATATTAAGCTTCAAGGATAAAAATAGGTAATAGTGATCATAATTTAAAAAAAAGAATATGCATATTTCTAATTGATCATATATCGCAAGTATACGTTTTTATCGGAATACAATAGTAAATTAGTTTAGCCATTTAGCGGGTCAATATTTCTAATTCTGAGAACGAATACAGTGAACGAGTCACAAAGTAAGTAATGATTGTGTTATACAATTTTTCGTGAATACTGTATATCTGTTTTAAGCGAGTATTTAATGGCTATAATAGTGACAGGAATATATTGTGAAATATAAACATCGCTATAAATGTTACTGTCTGTGATGGGTGTTACCTCCCTTGTATTGTTACCCGAGAACTCACGTTCAATTCATTGAGTGACGAGGGAATCGTGAATTGATTGTCTGGTCACAATTTCACACGTTTAAATTTGGCGGTACCTTCTCCATTGTCTGGTCATATTCTCCTTGTACTGTTTCAATGGTCTCCATGTTAAACTTTCTTTATTTTGCCGTAATTTTTTCGATCACGATTTAAACGTATAGATTTGTTAACACGTCAGTATTCTTTTTTTAACGTTTGAACACCACCAGGTCAGTTGACAGTTTTTTTTATGTTTAAATAAGGCGATCATGGAGGTTGGCGATTTTGACGAAGTCTGGCGAATCAACGATCAGTGGGGAAGAATACAGTTCTGGGAGTAAGATATTTTAATATAATTTAAATAACAATCTATCTGCAGATAAAAAATCTTGCGAATATCTTGAAAATACCTATTTTTCATTCGATTTACATCCGATTTTGAAAACAAATCAACCAAACAGTCTGCTTGCGTCCATTTAATAAACTTTTGTCGACTGTTCGAAAGAATTACACATCATCTTTGAAGGAATAGTTCTCTCGAAAATTAAACTTTCTATGAATACTTTTCAACATCGGGTGATTAATAATTATCAATGTGTATTTGTTTTCAACTTGATGATGATTATATTTTGAAAATACATTATCAAATTTAAATACAAACCCTTTGTCTTGTGTTATTGACGAAAGTTTTTTCTTTTTTTCCAAACAATAAATAAATAAAAATAAAGAAATAAGGAATTATAAATTATGTGATCAGGCTAGATAAATTTCTTATTCACGTTTGTATTTTTTCAATATTATTTTTCATACATTTGTATGTATACATGTATATTAATTCGATCTTGTTCAGTTTTAATCCAGACCCAACTGTCCGCCATACATTTTGGACCCTAACGATTGCCTCGTTCGTAAGCTCGGCTGGGTCCATTGGGTGCAGCCAGGCCAGCGTACAACGGTTCTGTGCCACAAAGTCCCTGCAAGAAGCTAGAAAGTATTCTCCTTAATACTTATATTTTGAACTTAAAATTCTCTGTCGTGATTTCTCTGGGTTTGTTTCGATTGTAATCATGTAATCCCTGTTTGAATTAAATGATGACAACTTAAATATATCAGTCCTGACAATAAAAATATTTTATAGAAAATTGATATTAAGGGAAATTTTAATAATACTGATTGATAAATTGATTAAAAAGGGTTCAGCGTTTCCTTGTCACACTCAAGTAGAATTAGAGGGCGGTATGAGTAAACTTGGATTGGAATTCTGTGATATGAATTATTTTCCGTCAAGGCGATGTGGGTGAAATTGAATGGAAATTATGTGGTACTATTTAAATTGTTTGGGAAGTTTGTTATACTATTTGATTTTTCCCATCAGGGCAGTGTGGGTGAACTTGGTTTAGAATTTTGTGATACTATATGTTTTCCCCATCATGGCGGTGTGGGTGAACTTAGTTGAGAATTCTGTGATACTATATGTTTTTGCCCATCACGGCGTTGTGGGTGAACTTAGTTGAGAATTCTGTGATACTATATGTTTTTCCCCCATCAGTGCAGTGTGGGTGAACTTAGTTGAGAATTCTGTGATACTATATGTTTTCCCCATCACGGCGTTGTGGGTGAACTTAGTTGAGAATTCTGTGATACTACATGTTTTTGCCCATCACGGCGTTGTGGGTGAACTTAGTTGAGAATTCTGTGATACTATATGTTTTTTCCCTGTCAGGGCGGTGTGGGTGAACTTGGGCGGTAATGTTATCATGTATACCGTCGCCTGTATCACCGGGATCTCTTTATTTGCGTACTACGTCAAACAAGGATGCGACCCAATATCTAACGGAGACGTGTCAAATATTAACCAGGTACTGTTGATTCCTTCCTATTCGTAAACACTTTATTTGCCTAAAGCAGAATAACCGAGGATTTGAGTTATGAAAAAGCACATTAACAATTATATATATGTTTTCATAAGTTCAAAAAATGTCACAATCTACACTTACCGAGGTCAGCTAAGTGTAATGTGACGTCATTACATCTGTCTATGACGTCTTAACGATAACATTCGAGAAAGCTGACCGGTAATTGATTTTGGCTGTTCAATTAATTAAAAATCTACTTCTGTTTTGCAGAATAAATTCGAAATTGAATATCGATTTATTCCAACAATCAGTTAAAATATAAGTATGGAATTTCATTTGTTAATATATATAGTCGTATAATAATTCTAAAATGTATTGTTTGAATGAATTTTCAATTTTCACTGTCAGAGAAAAACATGATAAAGAAACTACGGTTGAGTCTCGTTAATATAACCACATTTGTTACAGGTTTGTGAATTTGCTATACATTTTTTGACAAAGCTCTACTAGAGAAAAAGAAATCTATCCACGCAACGCCGAATTGATTGCTGGATTGACGAGCTTTAACTTAAACTGCTGACATTTGAAGGGAACAAGATTTTGCTTTTAGCCTCATGCAACTTTTTGTTTCAGTTGGTGCCACACTTTGTACAGGAACTGCTCGGCTACCCTGGTATCCAAGGACTATTTATAGCGTGTCTTTTCAGTGGAGCGCTTAGGTAATATATATTATCTTTGTTGATAAGAAAGCAATATTTCTGTTTTTGTCTTTCCTAAAAAATATAATGCATGATAGAAGAACCAAACGATCAATACCCTTTAAACAAGAATATCCGCCACATATCGAGTGATCGTGATATGTAAGGGTTATATCACCACACTGTGGTTTGGTTTGGTTTAATTTTGTTTCACGTCCTATTAACAGCTAAAGTCATTTAAAGACGTGCCTCCATGTGTGTAGTGTATGCGTGCTTGCTTGTGTATATGCAAGAGACAGTGTATGTTGGTGTGCTGGCCCAAGCACAGCATTCCACCCGGTCACATTATACTGACAACGGATGAACCAGTTGTTGCCATCACCCTAAATGCCGAACGTTAAGCAGGAAATAACAAATACCATTTTAAAGAACTTTGGTATGTCCCGGCCTGGGGACAAAATCCATTACCTTCCTGGGCGAACGCTCAACATTAAGGCCAAAAATGAGGTGTTGCCAAGCAAGGCGCTAGGAAGTAAAATGAAAGATAAAGATCCCAAATATCGTAATGGGTGCAGCAGACTTTTCACCACATGCGAGGAAACTATGATTGCAGAGAGAGAGGACAATGTGATAGTGTCAGGGACATATGCTCTGTTTTAACGTATCGGGATTTATCCATTCCGATGAAAGGTTATATAAAGTTTATTTCTCGAATCTCACAGGTATTCAATATGAATCAGCATAAATAGAGAAGATAAAACAACGACAAAGCAAAATTAGATAGTTGTTATCGAATCCAGATCAACATTAAAGTCAATTGGTGACACTAAGGGGTAGATTACCCGTCCCTCTGGCTGCCTGCATTATTAGAGTGTGATTTGGCGAAATGTATTTATAATTTTTGACAGCTGACTTTACTGAGTCGGTACAGAGTGGAGACAGTGGTCATTTGCACTCTTTGCTTGACAAAGGAAACAGACGTTTTCGAAAGCTCGCAAAATAATTTTCCAATTCCTGTTTGTGTTAAAAAAAACCTTAGCCTTTGATATTCATATCTAACCGATGTGTCTTATTTCGAAAGTTGTAAATGTTGTTGTTTACCAACCTAAAGCCTATGTTGGATGAAGTGCATTTACTTGTCTTGAGTACTGCAAAGTCAGCGTTACATGGACACACGTTAGTAGACATTTACCTACTACATGTACATTTTTTCTCCGATAGGACAATTTTCGACATTCAAGAAAAAGAAAATAAAGATTTGGGAGGAATTAAACAGCTGATAAAATAATTTTTTTTGAATAATTATAAACCTTATGGTCAAAAGATTTTTATATGACATAACACACCAAGTATTTCAGCAGCATTGTACATTCCTTGGTTTCTTTGAGCTTCATTGGTATACTTACATATGCATTCACCTTTTCCAGTTCAGTTTCATCAAACTTAAGTTCTCTGTGCGCTCAAACATGGGAGGACATGCTGAAACCCGTACTAAAAATGAAAACAGAAGAACAAAAAACGAAAATCGTCCGTCTTCTTGGTTAGTATTCTTAACTTCTTTACCCACCTACCATGTAAGGTCAGTTTACAGGTCTTCAGGTTGCACATCTTGTCAATATTTGCAAACTTATCTGTAAGAAAATATTTCTGTAATGAAAAATGTTTGATTTCGCACCAGCAATCTGTAAGCAATCAGGCATTTGTTTCGACATTGACAATTGATTAAAACCCATTTTCTCATTACACATGATGTAACTATGTAAGAGTGTTTTCCCTTTATCTGTCACCAGTGGTGATATACGGAGTGGTGGGAATAGGGATGACCTTTCTGACAAGTAATCTGACCGGAACGATATTACAGGTAAGCGGGCCTATCAGTTTGGTAGATAACTCCACTTATATATTCCATTCTTAGTTGGGCGTGCATAAGATGTCACGTGACACCACTTTTGACCAGTTGTAACGATATGTTTGTACACAAATATCTGGTAAGAATGCTGGTATAAAGAAAATTATTCTGGATTTTTTGATTAGGTTCCATTTCATGTAGAAAAAAATTATAGTTAAAGAAAGTTTCCGTATTAAACTGTGGATTAGGCATAGAATAAAGGGAATTAACAACTTGACTAATGTCAATTCTTCCGGTTTATCAAAATTATAGGCCACCATGAGTTTTATTGGAGTTGGAGCTGGACCCCTGACTGGTATTGTGGCACTTGGAGCACTCTTTCCGTGGGCCAACTGGATTGTGAGGTTTCACTTTATAGCAATTTCATTTTGTCAAACTAAATATGCAATGGTTTAAAGGTAATCTGATGAAATTTGATTGAGAGTATCGTAGACGCATCAACGATATTACGACGAGTACCTTGTACCGCTCTGCCAGATTGTTCTGATGAGTCCTTATTATGTCAAATAGCCAGATGTCTCAGTAAATGTTTGTTTAGCTCTCTGTATCGTATCGACTTACTAAAGCTTGATATTAATTGGTGCTTCCTAATTCGTATAACCAGTGATTGGTTTTTCTTTTTTAGTTGAAAGAATATCAAGAAACCTTAAAATATCCTGAAACTAAGTTACATATTATACAGGTTGAATCACAGATTTAAATAGAGATTAACCCACAAACAATAAATAAAGCATTAACATTTGTAAAGCAGCAGTTAATCTAAAACTCATGTTTACATTTATCTTCTAGTATATTCTCTCATCTAACAAACGAAATAAACATACCTAACTGCCATTTTGTCTGACCATATACCATTATCATTAGCATCAGCTGTTCGTGATATTGTTATCAAGTTGTTTTATTTGGTATTTGACATGAATAGGTTTGCTGGTTGTAGGGGGCCATCACCGGAAGTGTTCTATCTTACATACTGATGATGTGGATAGGTATAGGGAAATATACCATCGTTGGTGAACCACTCGTCCTTGACTTTCCTACGTCATCATGTAACCTTGGCAACAGTAACATGACAACAGCTTTACTTACAACAATGTCCACCATCAACGCTACTCAGCAAAGTGTTTACCATGAATTGTAAGTGTTCCAGGGTTAGTTAGAAGATAGAACATGTTTTCGAACGGGAAGATAATTAATAACTTGTATTTAGACGGTTTCATAATTATATTTCTAAATGATTTCAGCAGTGAATCACTTGATATATTCAGCGCTGACGTAAGAACATAATATGCATCTGTATCCTAGTACTTTTTTCTAGTATTTTTCTATATTTTGATTATTCTTGGCACGTATGCCTTCATAGAGTGATTTATGGTTAATGACTGTTTATATCATTGTTTTATAAAATAAAATTGGAATAAGTAAGTATATATAATAATTACGATTTGATATATGAACAAGTGAATCATACATTGCATAAAACGACAGGAGAATATATAGCAAAGTGTCAAACCTTATGGCACACTAAGGATCGACCTTCTTATCACACAAAGAAATAGCACATTTCCTTATGAGATCATGATGGTGACCATTGCACTTGTCCATAGTCTTAATTAACCTGCAAATTTGGAAACCCTGTGATGTTAGTTTGTCCGTCAGTAGTCAACTACGACATGTAAACACCGTAGATAGGGGAAGCAGGGATGTTACCATCAAGAGAGGGAAGTTTGTAACCTTACTTTGAAAGCATTAGTACTCCCTTTCATAAATAATTTCTACATACCAACACACATGTAGACTCGCCCTTAAGCTTATAGGTGTATTTGTTATAAATAATTAAGTTAAAATAAGAATCAAGGCTGGTTAATTGTGAATATAATCCGTTTTACCGATCCTTTTTGCTTAACATTTCCTGTTTAAAATAAAAATATTGTTGATGAACCGAACAATATTATGATTTGTCTATGAATATATTAAAAATATTAATATTCATAAGCGAATTTTTTACATATTCCATCCGAGACAAACATTTATACGGGAAACACAATCGTTTAATGTTAGACACCAGATGACCAGATGAACATTATGATATTACATAAGGTATTGCCTTTTTCTTACGCTCGTCTGCAGACTTATCCCTGAAGAACACACTCATATCAATTCAAGAAAAAGGAACGATATAAACATAAATAAAGTCAAATACGACATTCAGAAATATTCCTTGTAAAGGGATATAGAAAAAAGTGAATGCATACCATAATATCTGTCTTCAGATCTGGACTAGAGAGGTTGTACAGTTTATCTTACCTGTGGTATGCCGGTCTGGGACTGGTCCTCTGTATCGGTATAGGCCTGCTCGTCAGTCTAATAACAGGTAAACTACGTATACACTTCTATCAAATTTGATGTGAACTTGTTTGTCAATAAAATTAAGTGTCATGAAAAGCCTCGTTATCCTGGCACTTGTGACCGGTTTGTCCCCAAAGTAGTGAAAAGAATTCGTGCAAGTTAGATTTGTTTTTGTGATATAACCCATATATTTCAACCATACAAAATAAACATCAGAGTAAAAATAAAATTGCATACCTATAAGTATTTTGGAGGAAAACTGAGATTTGATGAATTTATGATTATAATATTTGTCCTTATCTAAGCAAAACATGTCTTTGAACGACAAAAGCCAAGTTTAGACTGTGATCGGCAGTTATTTTCAGACGTCGTCACAAAAGGACTCATTTATTAAGGACGATATGTTGATTATTGGTAAACAGAAATGCATAGTTTGATATACTTCATTCCGTCATAATGCAGGCCCTATGGATCCAAAAGATGTTGATAAGAAGTATTTGATATCCGTCTGTGATTGGCTGTGCTGCTGCCTTCCGAAGTCATGTCGAGGCTGCAACAACAGTGCCAGATATGGAGTCTCCATGGTCGGTTTACAAATGAAATACAGAAAACTCTTTGAAGAATCTAGCCGTTCTGTCAAGAGAACATTGTAGACCTAAATCAGTAGCATTTCCTTTCTACTTTTTATTTCCTTACTAGTATTTGGTTTAATTTGTTTGTACTGTACGTCCCGTTAACATCAATGGTCAGTTTGTACTGGTGGAGGAAAACCGGAGTACCCGGAGTAAAAAACACTGGCCTGCGTCCAGTAAAATGCGACTGGCCAAAGTCTTTCTATCTATTATCACATATATTGCGTGTTCATGTCGTGTTCATTTCCGTGGCATCATCCTTCTGTTAAATACATTACATGTGGATGCAATCATCTTATGACCGAATGTTCTACAAGAAATAAAAAGGGTATTGGAAATAAAAATGGGCGGGATGTGTGTGTGTTTTGGGTTGTCATACAATTAAATCTAGGATTTATCTAGCAGTTCAAATTATATGAGTTTCCAAACAAGGACGTTTGCAAATAACCCAAAGAGGAAAAAGGAAAATTGACAGCAGGATCAGTGTTGATTATATATATACTTTCAATTTCTTGTTTTATGGTATTTTGCAAAACAATGGTCTCTTACACAGACCGCTATATACATATTAGAGTCTTGTAAAATGTCAGATAAGGATTGATCAGTTATGTAAACAATTTACTGTAGATTATTTATGTTTAGTGAGTTATATAAATTAAATTAAATTTAAGATAAGGAACAAGTATGAAGTATCACACGATTATTTTCAAATCTTTTGTTGAAAGTTCACGTGTGAAGTTTGTAAAATAGAGTGTGCACGAATTCAATACTGAAAGGCCATTGAGACGATGTGTTACAGAAGACAAAAACATAGAGAACTCTTAAAAGTAGATATTTTTTGTGGTTTTTACGTGTTTATTTTGTCAAATTCTTTGAAATGTACGTGATGCAGTTTTCTGAGTTTCAAATGCTGTAATATTCACATATATTTATATCAAAGATGTATTTCACTGAATGTAAATTCGTTCACGCTCGTTTATTTTAGGAGTGAGTAAATAAGAAATTACCGAAAATGTTTTCACAGCGAACTTTCTACTGTTTCAGTAATATTTATTTTTACGGGAAAATTGATATGTTTTAGAATGGCATTTTTTTCATTTTTATTGCAGAACAAAGATATTCCGTTGAAAGACGTGGGAGATTCTAAAACAGGAACCGACAATCCGGTTTATAACGGTTATGGACACGATATTTCATTAGCTACCATGACCACAAATCGTGATGAAGCAATAGTTCACGTGAAAACAAAGATGTAAAAGATAGACATTCTGATGAGTCAATAATGGAATAGGATCTGCTCTGAAAAACATCTTTTTCTCATTCTATCATTTTAAAACAAATGAAAAACACCATTTGAGTCAGTGTCTTTATTAGTAAGAGTGTTTTTTCTTCTAGAAGACAAATGATCACCACTTAACTTACTATACTTACTAATATAGATAAAATAAGTGTGTTTGTATGGTAGGTTTGATGTTAAGGTATACGTATCTACACCACACAAACATAACGTTGATATTGTTCTTATGTTATCAAAATTATCATCTGAATAGATACGAGTTCAGGACATGAACCATAAAATCACGATTAAAATGCTCCTCGATTATCTCTTAACAGTAAAAACTTCTATATAATGTTACTTGTTTTTCACTCTATAGTAAAACCTCAATATGATGGGCCTTGTTTGTAACTAAACAGTAAAACTTCTTTATAGCGTTTCTTGTTTATCACTATACAGTAAAACTTCTATGTAATGTTACTTGTTTTTCACTCGACAGTTAAACCTCTATATGATGGGCCTTGTTTGTAACTAAATAGTAAAACTTCTTTATAACGTTTCTTGTTTATCACTATAAGGTAAATCTTCTATATGACGGGCCTTGTTCGTAACTAGACAGTAAAACTTCTTTATAACGTTTCTTGTTTATCATTAGACGTTTAAACCCTCTATATGATGGGCCTTGTTCGTAACTATACAGTAAAACTTCTTTATAAAGTTTCTTGCTTATCACTATACGGTAAAACCTCTATATGATGGGCCTTGTTTGTAACTAAACAGTAAAACTTCTTTATAATGTTTCTTGTTTATCACTTTGGGGTAAAACTTCTATATGATGGGCCTTGTTCGTAACTAGACAGTAAAACTTCTTTTTAACGTTTCTTGTTTATCACTATACGGTCAAACCTCTATATAATGGGCCTTGTTTGTAATTAGACAGTAAAACCTCTTTATAACGTTTCTTGTTTATCCCTATAAGGTAAAACTTCTATATAATGTTATTTTTTTTTCACTCTACAAGCCTCTATATGATTGTGCTTTTTGGTACCTATACAGTAAAACTTCTATTTTATGTCCCTCGTGTATCTCTTTACAGTAACACTTCTTTATAAAGTTTCTTGTTTATCACTATACGGTAAAACCTTTATATGATTGGCCTTGTTTGTAACAATACAGTAACACTTCTTTATAATGTTTCTTTTTGGGGGCTATACGGTAAAACCTCTATATGATGGGCCTTGTTCGTAACTATACAGTAAAACTTCTTTATAATATTTCTTGTTTATCACTATACGGTTAAAACCTCTATATGATGGGCCTTGTTCGTAACTATACAGTAAAACTTCTTTATAATATTTCTTGTTTATCACTATACAGTAAAACTTCTATATAATGTTTCTTGTTTATCACTTTACAGTAAAACTTCTTTATAATGTTTCTTGTTTATAACTATAAGGTAAAACTTCTATATGATGGGCCTTGTTCGTAACTAGACAGTAAAACTTCTTTTTAATGTTTCTTGTTTATCACTATACATTAAAACTTCTATATAATGTTTCTTGTTTATCACTTTACAGTAAAACTTCTTTATAATGTTTCTTGTTTATCACTCTACGGTTAAAACCTCTATATGATGGGCCTTGTTCGTAACTATGCAGTAAAACTTCTTTATAATGTTTCTTGTTTATAACTATAAGGTAAAACTTCTATATGATGGGCCTTGTTCGTAACTAGACAGTAAAACTTCTTTATAACGTTTCTTGTTTATCACTATAAGGTAAAACTTCTATATAATGTTTTTTGTTTTTCACTCTACAAGCCTCTATATGATTGTGCTTTTTGGTACCTATACAGTAAAACTTCTATTTTATGTCCCTCGTGTATCTCTTTACAGTAACACTTCTTTATAAAGTTTCTTGTTTATCACTATACGGTAAAACCTCTATATAATGGGCCTTGTTTGTAACTAGACAGTAAAACCTCTTTATAACGTTTCTTGTTTATCACTATAAGGTAAAACTTCTATATAATGTTATTTGTTTTTCACTCTACAAGCCTCTATATGATTGTCCTTTTTGGTAACTATACAGTAAAACTTCTATTTTATGTCCCTCGTGTATCTCTTTACAGTAACACTTCTTTATAAAGTTTCTTGTTTATCACTATACGGTAAAACCTCTATATGATTGGCCTTGTTTGTAACAATACAGTAACACTTCTTTATAATGTTTCTTTTTTATCACTATACGGTAAAACCTCTATATGATGGGCCTTGTTTGTAACTAAACAGTAAAACTTCTTTATAACGTTTCTTGTTTATCACTTTACGGTAAAACCTACCGATCGCTTGTTTTGCAACCTTTCTCACTCCATCTTATTTCAGGTTCCCTTAACATTTTTTGTAAGTTCATATCTAATAATCTAAGTGATTCAAAAACCCATATATCTCTGTGTGGTATTCAAAATCAAAAATCATGCAACAAACTATAAAATAATCGTTATGTAACCAAACACACATGGATACTATTTATATTTAGTTGTCCTGTCAATATATATATTAACGATGGGTTAATGATAGTTTTGAAAGACAGATTAAACCAATTTCTTAAAAATGGTAATCAGAACCTTCATCACATGTGGCACCCGTCATGATTTCGTTTAAAATCAAGGAAAGTACCTTGGTCAATTATGATCCAAGGCTCTGTGTACCTGTCTCTGTTTTACAGTAGATATTGCTCTCTCTTTTGAGTATGAGTAACCAGACGTGCTGCAGTATTCTGGACCCGTATCCATGAACTCGTTCTCAGGCTCAAGCATGAATTCTGTGCTTAAATCATGCCAACTGATAAAAAATATATTTAGACATTGATTGTTAATTGACATTGGGAACAAGGAATATGGCCTGAGCACAAAATCCGTGCTGGGGCGTGAGAACGGTTTCATGAATACGGGCCCTGGAGCATCTCCAGACAACTAGTTTGTTAGTCGAAGGGATGTAAAATTGTTATAAAGCAAGTTAAGTTGGTTGGTAATATTACACTGAAAGCCTATTTGATCAATTTGTTATTACGCTGACAATAAAATGGAAACAAGAGGCCCAGAGACATGGAGAAAAATATTCTCATTGAATAAAACAACGTCTCTCAGCAGCACCTGTCTCCCATTTACCTCATTTACCCCTATTGGGCCCAACCACTCTGCTCTCATGGGCACCCCCCCCCGTCCATCATTTATACAAAGTTAAAATCCCATTTGCCGAGAGCTGCTTTTTACCAAATTTGATTGAATTCCCTCCATTCGTAAATTTTAGGGACTTAAAAAGTACCCCATTGCTCAAAAAAGTTCTTCACAAACGAATTTTAAACATTTACCCCTCCCCCATGTTCTCCCTCATTAACCCTACCTATCTGCCTACGTTTAAACAAATATAAGGCCCACTTGGCCAATGATGCTTTAGACAGAATTTTGTTTAGATTCTAAATATCTAAATTTCCCTTATTTCCCCCCCATACCCCCCCCCCCATGTTCTCCCTCATGGACCCTATTTATCTAACTCCGTTTAAACAAATATTAGGCCCCCTTGGCCAATGATGCTTTTGCCAAAATTGTGTTTAGATTCTAAATATCTAAATTTGGCCCCCCCCCTATACCCCCCTCCTCCGTTACCATATAAAAACGGATCTTCCCATCTGGCCCCAGAGGGGCCACACCCTCCGTTCTAGTAGGCCAAATCAAATCAAATCCGTTGAGCCGTTCAGGACTAGCAGTGTTTTAATGGAAAAGTTGACAGACGGACGTACGTACTGTTATGTTTTAAAGCATTTAGCCAATAAAGTTATTTGTTGGATAAGTGGCATACGTGACACGTCTATTTGAAGCCAGACAAATGATAACGTTATATGAATTTTTACCGGAAACAGGACATGTTTCACTTTCGTTATCGAATTTTCCGAAAACACGTTGACACCAAGTAACCTTGACTTATATTATAAACATTACCATATATATAACAAGAAAGTACTTCACACATCTAGGGATACATCATATCGTAATCCCTTAATCATCTCAAGAAGATATACTGTGTTTCATAATTGGATAAATAGCAGGAATGTAGATATTTACTTGTTACCTGCTTAAGCCTTGATCTCACGATAAAGAGAACCTTATCACACAACGGACGAATACATCAACTCTAACCTCTATATCATCGCCAAATATAGATTCGAAGAGTCCGTGTAATCCAGAGAAAAGACAATCAACCAGTTTAAGTAAGTTTACAATTTTTGAATTTATCGAAATATTTTATGATTTGCTTCACTGTTCATCAGTAAATCAGGTCATTTCTTGCTGACTTAAGGTTCAACAAGCCCCCTAAAAGATGACGTAGTCAACTAAAATTCCAATCCCCTGGTAAGTCATGTTCTAAGACCTCAATTACAAATCGGAACTCACATATGTTATTTGTATATATTGAACTTGCACATTGGCCATAAAAAAATACATAGCCAGGTTAACGTAGTCAAAAAAGGGCATTAAGGCTGATGTCTTTATAAAAATAGTTCACCGGACTTATAACATGTCAATCTCTTTTGCAACCCTACTGAGTGCTGGGAAATGACCCATAATCTAAAGTTTATTTATATACCTAGGTCATGCGGAGCTTTATTTTTCTTCTACTAACTGTTGTGAGGAATTCCGACCACAAATAAAGATAGATGTTGCCATGCGAAACCACTAAAATCATAATAAAATCTCCTGGTAATACATTTTAGCAAATTTTAAATAAGAAAACAATGGATAAGTAACCTTGATCGATAAATGAACTTGAGATGATGTGCCATTTGATAACATTATGTGATTATATGAATGCACTAGACATGTTATAAACATTGAAGCTGAAAAGTACAATAATGTTTACAACAAGTCTAGCTCTTTTATTACAATATTGAATGCTAAGGAAGGACATTTTATATGAAGTTTAAGTAGTATGTATGGTCAAATGTCTATGGTTATACACATATATACAGTTAAAATATGTTACTCTGACGTTTTACTATG